CTCAGCAACCCCATTCTGCTGTGGGGACTCTGGCAGCGTCCAGGACCGGGTGATGCCCTATTCGCCGCAGAATCCGCCGAGAATGCCGGAGCGAAACTCGCCCCCACGGTCGGAGTGGAGACAACTGACTCGACGACCACGAGTGCCCTCAGTGGCTAGAAGCCACCTGATCAGCGTAGCTGTCACCTCGGACTTCTTTGCAAGAGGGAACACTGTGGTGTACCTGGAGAAGTCGTCGACAACCACGAGAAAGTAACGCTCCCTCCCAGACCCCTGCGTCGGGGCAGGGCCCCAGACGTCCAAGTGGAGAGTCTCGAAGGGAGCGGTGGCCGGACGAAGGGAGGAGGAGTGGGGAGTGGCGCGTAAGCGACCGGCGACGCACGGAGAGCAAGGAGGGGCAAGCGAGAGAGGGAGCGACGGGAAGGTGCGTGGGAGACCTGTGACTAGTCCCTGACTGAGCATGCCACAAAGGCGAGGGATCGACGGGTGGCCAAGACGGTGGTGCCACAGGACGGTGCGGTGGGCGAGAGAGCGACAGGAGCAAGACGCAGCGACTGGACTGGACACAGCGACCGGACTGGACACGACTACCTGGCTAGACACAGCAACTGGACTGGGGACCTGGGCCGGAGGGGACGCAACGACCTGAGGGGAGGACGCGACCGGGGAGCGCTCGGTGTGGAGAACGTAGAGACCGGAGCGGGGCTCCCTGGTGAACGTAGCCAGAACAGCACCTGTGGTAGCGTCAGTACAGACTGCAGTCCGCCCACCCCCCACGAAGGTAACCGTGATCCCCCTGTCCTGGAGGTATCCAACACCCACCAAGTTCCGAGTGAACGAGGGGATGTGGAGGCCGCGCAGGACACCAGAGGGGACCACAGGGCACGGGAGGGTGGTGGAGCTACGCGCAACGGCTGGTCCAGAGGTAGGATCAGCCAGAGCCACCGACACAGGTGTGAGGAGTGGTGTAAGGGTCGTGTGGTCGCGGAAGAAGCACTGAGACGCGCCCGAGTCCAGCGTGAACGACAGAGAGGCCTCAGCCGGCGGGTCACCTGACCCAGTCGCTACACAAGCACCTAGAGCAGCAACACAAGCACCTAAGCTAGACAGGCACAAGGCTACACTTGCAGGAGGCAAGCAGGCTAACCGACGAACACGCGAGCACACAGATCCATCAGCACTAAAGTCAGCATCAACATACAAAGCATGCTGGCGCGCATCGTCCATGGACAAATCAAAGACATCAATCTTACGGGCTAACAGACGAGACCAGCGAGGCGTGACCGCCAGAGGGCCCCAACGAGCCCGGTAGAGGTCGTCGAGGCGGCGGAAGCACCGCGCGGCAGAGTGGTCGTCGCGACCACAGAGACAGGGGCTCCCCGGCCCGGTGACGCACCAGTGGGTGCACGGGCCAGCGTCACGGCGAGGGGGGCGAGGGGCCGAGCTGGAAGTACTGCTGCTGCGGCTGGTGCTCCCAGGGCCGCCCGGACCCCACTGCGGCGGGGGACCCCAGTGCTGCTGCGGACCCCACTGCAGCGGGGGCCCCCACTGCTGGGGTGCCTGCTGCTGCTGCGGTCCCTGCTGCTGCTGCTGTCCTTGCTGTGGCGGGTGCTGCTGTGGGTACCGCTGTGGCTGCTTCTGCTGTGGGCCTCCACCAGTGGGAGGGCCCGGCTGTCCGGCGCCCGCTCCAGGGCCCCCTCCTCCCGGTGCACCACCGCCGCCGCTGCCACCTCCACCCCCGCCGCTCCCACCTCCACCGCCTCCTCCACCGCCCCCTCCACCGCCGCCGCCTCCACCCCCACCCCCCCCCTTCCCGCCCTTCTTGCCGCTCTTGCCCCGTTTCTGCCAGTCTGCGGCAGAAACGGCAGCAGTGTCCTCAGAGACCGACACAGCAGCAGAGGCGCGGGTAGCGGTGAAAGTGGGAAGCTGAGGGGCGGCACACCCCGCAAAGAGACGGGGGGCCACCGCATCAGTGGCGGAGGCAACGGTGAGGAGACTGCTCTCGATGGTCCCTAGAGCAGTCGCTAGGAGGTCGATAGTGAGCTCAGTGGGGTGCTTCTGAAGAAGCGCGTCGCGGGCAGTGGCAAGGCGGTCAGGGAGGCGGGTGACTAACCAGTGAACAGTGAGCCACATGGGGGGGGGAGCAACTAGAAGCTGTGCGTCGGTACAGGCAGCGCGGAAACCGGCGTCAAGCGAGCGGAGGTGAGTCACTAGGTCGGAAACAGTCGCAAACGAGCCTAGGTCGGGAAACACAAACGGCATGAGGAGGCGACTGAGGGAGGAAGAGGAGGGGGTGGAGTAGCGAGCAACAATAGCCTCCCAAACCCCCTGTGCAGTCTCCACGTGGTCAAAGTGGGCGGCCTCAGTCGGGGGGGAGAAGCTCCGACAGAGTGAGAGCGGCGGCAGCGTCACGCGAGAGCCACACGTCCCGGGCCAGGACCCGACGGTCGTAGTCCGCCTGGGCCGCAGGGGTCGGCTCCGGGGCGGTCGGCAGGGCGGCGAGGGACGGGGGTGCCGCGAGAGCACCCGACGCGTGGGCCCACAGAGTGGCGCCGTCCTGACGCTGGCTGGTGAGGAAACGCGTGGTCTGACGCTGCCAGGTACCGAACTCTATCGGACGTCCCTCCGCATCGAATCGTAGGCGACGGGACTCCATGACGGATGCCATGCTAGAGGCGGCTGGAGCACGGCGGAGGCGGAGCGAGGAGGCCTAGGAGCGCCAGCGGCGACTAGGCGAGTGACCTAACGGAGAGCGGAGCAACCTAAGTGAGGCTGAGCCTACGAAGAACGCCAGGGACGTAGAGACTAGGAGCTAGGGAAGGCGCTCAGGGAACTGCGCTAGATCGAACTACCGGCGAGAGAAGCGGCTGCCAGCCGCTGAGCTGAAGACCAGTGCCAGGAGGAACGAGGTGGGCCCGGGAAACAGGGCGGTGGAGGGTAAAGGCAAGCCACGGGCCGAGGGAGGGTGTGGGCTGGCTCTAGGGAAGGCTAGGGTTAGGGTTGGGGCGGGGAGGCCGTTTTGGACGGTGAGAATGGGCGGGAGGAGGGCGCGACGGTGGGAAATGGGCGGGGAGGAGGTGCTACGGTGGGAAGGGGGGCGGGGCGGAGGTCGCGACGGTGGGGAAGGGGCGGGGAGGCCGTATTCGTCGGTGGGAACGAGCGGGAGGAGAGCGCGACGGTGGGAAAGGGGCGGGGAGGCCGACGGGCAGGGGAACGGGAGGCGAACGCGACGGGCTGGAGGAGGGGAGGCGACGCGACGGGCGGGGGAAGGGGAGGCGACGCGATGGGCAGGCCAAAGGTGCGCGACGGGCTGGCCAGGGGCGCGCGACGGGCTGGCCAAGGGGCGCGCGACGGGCTGGCCAAGGGGCGCGCGACGGGCTGGCCTAGGGGCGCGCGACGGGCTGGCCAAGGGGTGCGCGACGGGCTGGCCAAGGGGCGCGCGACGGGCTGGCCTAGGGGCGCGCGACGGGCTGGCCAAGGGGCGCGCGACGGGCTAGCCTAGGCGCACGCGACGGGCTGGCCGAGGGGAGGGCGCGGGCTACGCGCGGAGGGTGCGGAGGCGCTGAGGGCGCGGAGGGCACGGACGGTACGGAGGGCGCTTGGTGCGACGGAGGGCGCGGAGGGCGCGGAGGGCGCTAGGCGCACGGAGGGCTAGGCTAGGCTAGGAACGACCTACTCATGATACCATCTTAAGAAGTGAGCACAACGGAATGGTTGGATTGAGAATGCAAGACAGTACAATTAGGGAAAACCTAAGCACTGTACTCTCTACTGTGCACCTCACTACAGCCTATCAAGATATTGCACATTTGACATCCATCCACCTCATCAGTTATAATTGTGAACGTATCAACTTTGTAATGTATTCCATTCTTGTGAAAAGGAGAAAGGAAACTCTTATAATACCTCATCATTTTGTGTTTGGTACAAACTAGGGTAGCAACAATACATTTTTGTGCGATGTTTGGTGCCATATTTTAAATGTTGTTGCCTCCCTTGTGCACCTCCATGGATGAATCAACATACCACCTCGATGTGGTAATGATTGCTGCATCAAGCGAATGTACGCGCTGTTAGCTACCCACTACATCCTCGTGACTCGTCCCTCGCCTCGCCTCGCTGATCCCGCCACTAGACAACACACTCCGTGGCTGTCGCTCAACACCTCACCACACGGGTCTAGGCTGTCAAAACTGCGCGCGCGATCCGTTCCAGCTTCGGCGAAAATCCTTCTGTTACTGATTTTCGCATTCTCCAAAAGAAACTCCAAGCTCCGCGCCGAGCTGGGCGAAATTCGCCATGCCCGTTGCGTCAACCCAGTACTGCTTGGCTCGGCATTTCCAAATCACAGTCCGCGTCGCTCACTCGCCACAATCGCCCACTCGGACCACGAGTCACGACGCGTCACCTTCCGAAATGAGGCGAAACAAAATCGAATTATTCCCGCAACTCCAATAAAACACTCCCGCCACTGCACCCCCGAGCTAGGCTGGGGGCACAGGTGCCGCCGTCAGCACCGCACACACACTTTGCGAAATCCACCGCCCCACGAATTTCCCCCTCCGCCTGACGGAACACATGCGGAGAGGCTGCGCGGGGAAGGGCAACGTGGGGCGCAAGATTCAAGAAGTTGGGTCCGCTGCGCGGGTATCTTGGCAGGTCGCAATCCGGGTTGGAATAAAGTAGGGTTCCATCCATGGCTTCCAGCAGAATAATTCGCAGGAGAGCACCCAGGTGACTCGCCAGGCAACAACCATCACGCGACTCCAATAATTGCGGTAGAAATTACAGCTCGCTATTCACTGGGTCGTCGCATCCTTGACGTCTAGCACCAAGACATCCCTCCATCCTTTTAACCCCAACCACTTTCACCCATTTCTCTTGACACCATCAATTCTGCTATCCTCGCCAGTTACGCCTGTCTCATCTCATCATCTCCAGCTTCAGTCCCAAGCAAAGCAGTCGTTCCCCTCCCCTCTTACGTTCTCGCACTAGCCACCATGGCTCCTGCCAAACCTTCCACCGCTCGCGCTAGTCCTCCCTCATCCCTAGTATCGGTACTCCTCCTCTTCACCCTACTCCTCGTCGCTCGTCAAGCCTCGGCCGCCAATCTCCCATTGGACGGCTGTCAGTGCGGCAAGCTACGGGGCTTGGAGCGAGCGCGAAATAACGCCGTTAATTTCCGGCGGTTCGAGCAGATCGGGTCGTTCAACGGCGCCTTCAACAGCCACGGCGGCCGCCTCGTGCCTCACGAGCACGGCTCGGGCTCGGTCAATCTCGAGGTCTACCAGGTCAGTCAACCTCCCACTGCTGCCCAGTGCCGCCTCCCTTACAGCCTGTTTCCCTAGGCTCCTTGCTGTACGTACTAAGCCAATTTCTTGTTTTGTTTTCTGTTTGACCATGACGCAACGCCCGTCGTCCACCGCGGCACCGTCTCATGTTCCTCTTCCTCGCTCCTCTCCGCCCGCCTTTCGCGCTCGAATCCGCCCCTCTCCCCGTCATAACAGGAGGTCGGAAACTACGTGGAAGTGGTGCGAGGCCGCCCGGGCAGCACGCTCGAGGGGTGCTGCGCGGCGTGCGCGGCGTCCCCACTGTGCCTGCAGTACCACTGGTTCCCTAGCGCGCAGCAGCGCCGCAACGCCAACGTGCGCGGGTTCGTGGCGGGCGCGCAGTGCTACCTGCTGGGCGCGGACGGCGGAGCGGGCGTGGCGGGGCACTTCAAGACGCCGTACAGCGGCGAGGCGGAGGAGCAGCGCATCATGGCGCCCTACTTCCCGCAGAGCTGGTACCGCCCGCCCTTCCGCCACCCGCCCTTGGACCGCCATTCCGCCCCATTTTTCCGAAGTCACGTCGTCGCGCATCACTTCTTTTCCCTGCTTCGTGTTTTTACTCGCCTCTGCACTGCCCCTCTCCACCCTTTCCTAATCCTTCCGCCTTTAACCCTTTGCGTGCCCTCTTTCCTTCCTCCCCTTCCCCCTCTTTTCCGCCAACAGGGTGGGCGGAATCTGCAACACTTCCGCCATCCCCGCCTCCCCGCTCACACTCCGCCGCCCCACCCAATCCGACCTCGCCACGCTGGACCCCGACAGCCAGCTCAGCAACACCTTCTGCCTACTCAGCGACCGCCGAATCCACGTCAACATCCGCCTGTCCGGCTACGACCCCGACCGCCTGCCCGCCCTCCCCGCGGACCCCCTCTCCGCCTCCGCTTCCTCCGCCTCCCTGCGCGGCCAATCGGACCCCACCGCGCGCGCGCATGTCCGCGCACACGGGTCCGCGGGGCTGCGCGCATGGATCAAGGAGGTGGGCGTGGTGTGGGTGGGGCACGAGGGGCGCCCGCACACGCTGCGACTCGTCGCGCGCGGGGGGAAGCAGCAGGCGCGCGGGCGCGAGGGCTTCCTCGCACTGGCGGAGATGGACGGCGTGCAGGTCGCTGTCCCCGCGGAGGTGGGCGCGGCGGCGGAGGGCGCGGGGGGACTGGTAGTGGCGAAGGTGGCGGAAGAAACGGACGGGGGGATGGATGTAGACCAATACGCGGTGATGATTCAGGGGCTGGCGGAGATCAACGTGCGCGCGAGCGTGGCGCATCCCCTCCTGCAGAGCATGGGGGAGGCGGAGGCGCACTTCATAATCGAGTTCATGGACCTGCAGACGACGCCCGCCATCCATGGCGTGTTGGGGCAGACGTTCCGGGAGACGCCTGACGGGCAGCACAGGGACCTCACGTACTCGCATCTGTCTGGGCTGCTGCTGCGCGCGGGGCAAGAGGGGGATAAGGGGGATGGGTTCCTGGAGGGTTCTGCTGGGGACTATGTGACCTCGACTATCACCCGGCCGGATTGCGCCTTCTCTGCCTTCCCCTCCATCCCCCTCCCTGCTTGAGCACGCAGCCACCGCCGTTCTAGAGCTATGACACCCCGCCGCGCATGACTGACAAGCCTCCCTGCGAGACCACAGTTCCTAAGGTCCCTTGCACTGCTCCCCTTGCGGAAATGCCCACCTCCTTGATGGTCAGTGCCTCCGCCAACCAATAAGGGCACACCACCTGGTGCCGGCATGCCTTGATATTCACTGTGCAGCCATGTGCCGCACAGCTGCCAGGGAGCAGTGCCCCCATATACCCTGTGGGCGAGGCAAGGGGGTCCAGTCCAATAAAGACGACAATAAACGCAGCAGTGGCAGCAGGTGCCACAGCAGCCAGCAGCAAGCATGCCGCTGTGAAAATCTGTGTATACGTAGACATGTAGACATGTACCGACTGGTTGCCTTTTACAGCATGTATTGTATGGTATTGTAGTGAGGCCAATGAAGTCCAATTCAACTACCGTAAAGCAGAGTCCAAATCATTGTTCTTGTTGGCAAACCAGAATATTGCTACCGTACATCAAATGGATTACCGGTACCATCCACCGGCCAGTCTCTCCCTTTTCCCAACCACACTAGCAGCGGTTCTGTCCTTTCCTCAGCTCAGCCCCGCCCCCTCTTGGCTAGCACATAATTCGAGAAAACACAATTCTCACGTCATGCCCGCCACATCCTCTCACACCAACGCCACGCCACGCTCACAGCACAGCACACAGCACAGCACACCGCGGCCCGTCAAGGGTCAGGGTGAGTGAGCTTGGGGACGAGCGTGAGCCCCTGGGGGTGGTCAGCACAGCGCCGCAGGAAGGGCAGCCAGCGCGCCGGGTCGGACGAGCGGTGCCCTCGCTCCCTCACCCCATCCGACCCATCACGGGTCAGGGTGAGTGAGCTTGGGCAGGAGCGTGAGCCCTTGAGCGTGGTCAGCACAGCGCCGCAGGAAGGGCAGCCAGCGTGCCGGGTCGGTGGAGCGGTGCCCTCGCTCCCTCACCCCCGCTGACCCGTCCCCATGCGGGTATGATGAGCATATGAGGGAGAGAGGAGCGCCCAAGTGGCACCCCTCTGTTGACCAACTGCGCGTGCACCCGCCCTGCCCCACCCCTCCCGTTGCTGCTGCCGCTGCCGCCTCTGCTGCTGTTGCTGGGTCGCCGTGGTGACTCTCGGTGGTGGCGGTGGTGGGAAGTGGGGGTGAGAGCAGGAAGGGTGGGCGGCCGGCGAGGCCGCTGGCTAGATAGCCCTCTGCTGATGCGGGGCTGAAAGGGGAAAGGGGGAATGGGGGAAGGAGATTCGGGTGGAAGGAGAATGAATGGTGGTGGTGGTAAGATGGCGTGAGAGCAGGAAGGGAGGGCGACCTGCGAGGCCGCTGGCTAGATAGCCCTCTGCTGATGCGGGGCTGTGGGGGGAAAGGGGGGAGAGTGGAGAGAGATGGGTGGGGCAGAGGAGAATGGAGAGAGTGGGCGAGGGGAAATAGGCGGAGCGAGCACCGTATCTGGCAGAGTGCATGTGGGATGTGCAAGGATGCAGAAGCGCAGTACTGAGGAATAAGAGAGGGGAAGGGAAGGGAGAGAAACGAACAACCGTGCTGACCTGGCAATGATGAACTGGCACGTGCTGAGCAGCCAGATCCGCAGAAGCTCCATCTGATTGGCCGACAGCAGGCGCTCCTCCGAGTCATCCTCCACCTCAGCATGCACCGCCACCACACTGCCATGCCAGCCCAGGGGGGATCATGCCATGCCATGCCATGCCATGCAATGCCATGCCATGCATAGGTGGGGATGAAATAAGCCAAGGAAAGGGGCGGCAAAGAAGTGAACGGGCGGAGAGGGATGGCAGCACTGGTGCTGCATCTAATCCGCCCTCCGTTGCTCCCACCTCATCCACACAAGCGGTCTCTAAAACCACACACCAAGCAACCACAAGGGCCCCACGCCTCTCACTTGTGCACCTCTCTACGCCACGCCTCTCATGCCTCTCATGCCTCTCATGCCGCTCACCTGTGGTCCTCAGTGGGCCACTGCGCGCTCACCTGTGGTCCTCGGTGGGCCACTGCGCGCTCACCTGTGGACCTCGGTGGGTCACTGCGCGCTCACCTGTGGACCTCGGTGGGTCACTGCGCGCTCACCTGTGGACCTCGGTGGGTCACTGCGCGCTCACCTGTGGTCCTCGGTGGGTCACTGCGCGCTCACCTGTGGTCCTCGGTGGGCCACTGGGCGTAGGCGCGTTTGAAGAACTTGAACGCCGCAAAGCTATCTGCCGCCACAAACACCGCCACCACCCGCGCCCTCGCCCTCCCCCTCACCACCCTGCCGCCGCTGCTGCCCAGTTCGCCCTCTCTAGCACCACCGCCATCAGCAGTGGCAGCAGCATCATGAGAGAAAGAACTTGTTTCCCCACTGCTCTGCCCGCTTGCTCCCACGCCTGCTCCCCGCTTCCCATCGTTCTTGTGCGGTGCCCTTGCCTCCCCGCCCAGCGGGCGGGAGAAGAGCCCAAACTGCCGGCGCTGAGGGTTGCTCCCCTCGCCCCTGCCTGCCTTCTTATGCGCCCCTTCCCCCTTCCCTGCCCCTTTCCCTTCCACCTGTCCTTCCCCCTGCCTTCCCGTCCCCCCCTCCTCCCCGCCCCCATCCAGCAGGGAGCGGGAGGAGAGGGAGAGGTGGCGTGCGCGGGAGGAGTGGTTGAGGAAGGCGGCCAGCTGCGAGGGTGCCAGGGGCAGCGGCAGCACGCCCTGCGACATGCCGCACTCCAGGGCTTGCTGGGGGGGTGATGGGGGTGATGGGGGTGATGGGGGTGATGGGGGTGATGGGGGTGATGGGGGTGATGGGGTTGATGGGGGTGATGGGGGTGATGGGGGTGAAGGGGGTGATGGGGGTGATGGGGGTGATGGGGGTGAAGGGGGTGATGGGGGTGATGGGGGTGATGGGGGTGATGGGGGTGATGGGGTTGATGGTTGGGAGGGGGGTGATGGGGGTGATGGGGGTGAAGGGGGTGATGGGGGTGAAGGGGGTGATGGGGGTGATGGGGGTGATGGGGGTGAAGGGGGTGATGGGGGTGAAGGGGGTGATGGGGGTGATGGGGGTGATGGGGGTGATGGGGGTGATGGGGGTGATGGGGGTGATGGGGGTGAAGGGGGTGATGGGGGTGATGGGGGTGATGGGGGTGATGGGGGTGATGGGGGTGATGGGGGTGATGGGGGTGATGGGGGTGATGGGGGTGATGGGGGTGAAGGGGTTGATGGGGGTGATGGGGGTGATGGGGGTGAAGGGGGTGATGGGGGTGATGGGGGTGATGGGGGTGATGGGGGTGATGGGGGTGATGGGGGTGATGGGGGTGATGGGGGTGATGGGGGTGATGGGGGTGATGGGGGTGATGGGGGTGATGGGGGTGATGGGGGTGATGGGGGTGATGGGGGTGATGGGGGTGATGGGGGTGATGGGGGTGATGGGGGTGATGGGGGTGATGGGGGTGATGGGGGTGATGGGGGTGATGGGGGTGATGGGGGTGATGGGGGTGATGGGGGTGATGGGGTGATGGGGTGATGGGGGTGAAGGGGGTGATGGGGGTGATGGGGGTGATGGGGGTGATGGGGGTGATGGGGTTGATGGGGGTGATGGGGGTGATGGGGGTGATGGGGGTGACGGGGGGTGAGGGGGGAAAGAGGGGGTGAGGGGGGGAAGAGGGAGGAGAATGGGACGGGAATGGGGATGCGTGAGGTGGTGATATCCATGTGTGCTGCATGCACAGCAGTGGGACATGCAGGTGGTAGGGGTCAAGTGGAGGCATATAGCAGGAACTCCCACTGCAACTCAACGTTGGACCAAGTGTGGAGGGCATATGGCAGAAACGAGGAAAGCAGAGGCAGCTCAAGTGAGACGGTGCAGAGAACTTTGAGACGTCTCAATAGTCAGCAGTGGGAGATGCAGGTGGCAGGGGTCAAGTGGAGGGCATATAGCTGAAACGAGGAAAGCAGAGGCAGCTCAAGTGAGACAAGAGGTGACCCCGGTGCAGAGAAACCCTCGCATGCAACCCCCACGCACACCTCCCTTTTTCTACCCCCCACGCACGTCTCTAACCGTCCCACACGCACCTCCCTCATCGCCTCTTTCATTGCAACACTCCCGCCCGCCGCCAGTTGCACGCCCACCGACCGCCACGCGTGCGCGAGGTGCCCCTGGTGCGCCCTGAGCGCCCTCATCCCTTCCCTTCCCCCCCACCTACCTCTCGCATCGCCTCTTTCGCCGCAACGCTCCCCCCACTTGTAAGTTGCACCCCCACGGACCGCCACGCGTGCGCGAGGTGCCCCTGATGCGCCCTCAGCGCCCTCATCCCTTCCCTTCCCCCCCACCTACCTCTCGCATCGCCTCTTTCACTGCAACGCTCCTCCCACTTGAAAGTTGCACGCCCACGGACCGCCATGCGTGAGCCAGGTGCCCCTGGTGCGCCCTCAGCGCCCTCATCCCTTTCCTTTTCCCCCACGCACCTCTCTCATCGCCTCTTTCACCGCAACGCTCCCTCCACTTGCAAGTTGCACCCCCACAGACCGCCACGCATGCGCGAGGTGCCCCTGGTGCGCCCTCAGCGCGCGCTCCCACACGGCATTGGCGGGCAGCAGCAGGTAGCGCGCGAGCGGGTGCAGCAGCACGCTGAAAATCCTGGCATTCCCTCCCCGCACGCGCACCCCCTGGCACCCCCCGCACAAGCACGCTGCACACCTCTCATCACCCCCCACGTACCTCCCTCATCGCCTCTTTCATCGCAACGCTCCCCCCACTTGCAAGCTGCACGCCCACGGAGCGCCATGCATGCGCCAGGTGGCCCTGGTGCGCCCTCAGCGCCCTCTCCCACACGGCATTGGCGGGCAGCAGCAGGTAGCGCGCGAGCGGGTGCAGCAGCACGCGGGAGGGGAAGAGGCGGTGCAAGGGACGGTGAAAGGCGGGCAGCAGGAAGAGCGAGGGCAGCAGGTGCTGGTCGCACAGCATGGCCAGCCACGTGGCGTTGCGGGCCAGCTGGGCTTGCATGGAGGTGCAGAAGAATTGTTCATCCCATGCATAGCGCTGCTCCTGGGGTGTGGGAAAGGGGTGGGTGATTGGGGTGGACGGGGAGAAGAGGGAAGGGAATGAATGGGGCAGCAGGAAGAGCGAGGGCAGCAGGAAGAGCGAGGGCAGCAGGAAGAGCGAGGGCAGCAGGAAGAGCGAGGGCAGCAGGTGCTGGTCTGAGAGCATGGCTAGCCATGTGGCGTTGCGGGCGAGCTGGGCTTGCATAGAGGAGCAGAAGAATTGTTCATCCCACGGGTAGCGCTGTGACTGTTGTGGGGACGAGGTGGGTGAATGGGGTGGAAGGGAGGGGGAGCGACAATAGGTGGGAAGGCGGGGAGGGCTAGCTGGGTCTGCATGGAGGAGCAGAAGAATTGCTCGTCCCATGGGTAGCGCTGTCCCTGTGGGGTGGGAAAGGGGTGGGTGATTGGGGTGGACGGGGAGAAGAGGGAAGGGAATGAATGGGGCAGCAGGAAGAGCGAGGGCAGCAGGAAGAGCGAGGGCAGCAGGAAGAGCGAGGGCAGCAGGAAGAGCGAGGGCAGCAGGAAGAGCGAGGGCAGCAGGAAGAGCGAGGGCAGCAGGAAGAGCAAGGGCAGCAGGAAGAGCGAGGGCAGCAGGAAGAGCGAGGGCAGCAGGAAGAGCGAGGGCAGCAGGAAGAGCGAGGGCAGCAGGAAGAGCGAGGGCAGCAGGAAGAGCGAGGGCAGCAGGAAGAGCGAGGGCAGCAGGAAGAGCGAGGGCAGCAGGAAGAGCGAGGGCAGCAGGTGCTGGTCTGAGAGCATGGCTAGCCATGTGGCGTTGCAGGCGAGTTGGGCTTGCATAGAGGAGCAGAAGAACTGCTCGTCCCATGGGTAGCGCTGTGCCTGGGGTGGACGGGGATGGGGCGGGTGAATGGATTGGAAGGGAAGGGGAGGGACAGTAAGGCAAGGGGCAGCAGGTGGGAAGGCAGGGAGGGCTAGCTGGGCTTGCAGCAGAAGAATTGCTCGTCCCATGGGTGGCGCTGCGCCTGGGGTGATGGGAAGGGGTGGGTGAATGGATTGGAAGAGAAGGGGAGGGACAACAAGGCAAGAGGCAGCAGGTGGGACGGCGGGGTGGTCTGCATGGAGGAGCAGAAGAACTGCTCGTCCCATGGGTAGCGCTGTGACTGGGGGGTAGGGAAGGGGTGGGTGGATGGATTGGAAAGGGAAGCGGAGGGACAGTAAGGCAAGGGGCACAGGTGGGAAGGCGAGCTGGGTCTGCATGGAGGAGCAGAAGAATTGCTCGTCCCATGGGTAGGGCTGCTCCTGCCGTGGGGACGCGGTGGGTGGATGGGTGGGACAGGGAGGAGAGGGACGGGAAGGAAGAAGTTGGGAAGAAGAGGAGGGGGAAGGGAAGAAAGGGGTGGCAAGTGAGGAGGTGGGGGGAGGGTCAGGTGGGGAGGTGGGGATGAGAAGACGTCGAGTGGAGACGAGGGGTCAGGCTTGCAGGCAAGTCCAGTGTTGCATGCACGATGGTACCCACGTGAGAACAGCAGGTAGGTGTGCATGTGCATGTGCATGTGCATGTGCATGGGCAGGCGCACGTGCGTGTGCGTGTGCATGGGCATGGCAGCAGCCTCACCTCAAAGTAGATGGTTGCCACGTCCCTGCGATTGAGTGGCTGGTGGGGGCACGACCGGAAGAGGAAGGGGTGGGACGAAGGGACAAAGAAAAGAGGAATACGTTGAAAAGGGGAAGGAGGGAGAGGGAGAGGAAAGTGCATGTGAAAAGACGACAGAGCAGACAGCTTCACCTTCTCTCCCGTCCCGTTTCCCTCACTCATTCCTCCTTCATTCCTCCCCCTCCCCTCTCTCTCCCGTTCACCCACCCACCTCTCTCATGCCTTCACTCACACCTCGCTACCCTCCGTCCCTCGCTCTCACACCAACTCACAGCAAAGAAGCTGTTGCTGGTGCTGCCGTTGACCCACTCGCCCTGGTGCTGTGGGTGCAGGCGGAAGTGAGCCGGCAGCAGCGCGGGCAGCCACCATGAGAGTGGGTCAATGCGAGCTCACCGCATAGTACTGGTTGCTGGTGCTGCCGTTGACCCACTCGCCCTGGTGCGGCGGGTGCAGGCGGAAGTGCTCTGGCAGCCCTGCCGGCAGCCACCAGGAGGAGCGCGGGAAGGGGTTGCACAGCAGGCTGGGGTGGGGGGGAGGAGGGGGAGATGATAAGAGGGAGAGACAGGGAAGGGGAGGATGCGGAGGGGGTGATGAGGCAGAGAGGGCAGCCACCAGGAGGAGCGCGGGAAGGGGTTGCACAGCCGACTGGGAGGTGGGGAAAAGCGGAGCGGAGGAGAAAGGGGAGATTGAGGTGGAACGTGGCATCGGGTCACATGCGCGGCATCAGTGCGCGATGTGCGAGTGAAGGTGGTACAAGTGTGGGCGTCAGCTGGGGTGGATGCCACTGAGAGTGCGGCGGTACCTGGGCAGGTCGCCCTGGGTGTCAACTAGCAGGGCGCGGTGGGTGAGCAGCGCGGAAAGGAAGGCGGAGAGCAGCATGAGGGAGTGAAAGTGGTATGAGTGTGGGCGTCGCCTGGGGTGGACGCCAGTGAGAGTGTGGGCGTCACCTGGGCAGGTCGCCCTGAGGGTCAACGAGCAGGGCGCGGTGCGTGAGCAGCGCATAGAGGAACGAGGAGAGCAAACAGCAGGCGCTGCACCAGTCCCTCCTATCAGTCCCACCTATCAGTCCCTCCTATCAGTCCCACCTATCAGTCCCTCCTATCAGTCCCACCTATCAGTCCCACCTATCAGTCCCACCTATCAGTCCCACCCTCCTATCAGTCCCACCTATCAGTCCCACCTATCAGTCCCGCCTATCAGTCCCGCCTATCAGTCCCACCTATCAGTCCCACCTATCAGTCCCACCTATCAGTCCCACCTATCAGTCCCACCTATCAGTCCCACCTATCAGTCCCACCTATCAGTCCCTCCCTCATATCAGTCCCACCTATCAGTCCCACCTATCAGTCCCGCCTATCAGTCCCGCCTATCAGTCCCACCTATCAGTCCCACCTATCAGTCCCACCTATCAGTCCCACCTATCAGTCCCACCTATCAGTCCCACCTATCAGTCCCACCTATCAGTCCCACCTATCAGTCCCACCTATCAGTCCCACCTATCAGTCCCTCCCTCCTATCAGTCCCACCTATCAGTCCCACCTATCAGTCCCACCTATCAGTTCCACCTATCAGTCCCACCTATCAGTCCCACCTATCAGTCCCACCTATCAGTCCCACCTATCAGTCCCACCTATCAGTCCCACCTATCAGTCCCACCTATCAGTCCCACCTATCAGTCCCACCTATCAGTCCCACCTATCAGTCCCTCCCTCCTATCAGTCCCACCTATCAGTCCCACCTATCAGTCCCTCCCTCCTATCAGTCCCACCTATCAGTCCCACCTATCAGTCCCACCTATCAGTTCCACCTATCAGTCCCACCTATCAGTCCCACCTATCAGTCCCACATATCAGTCCCACCTATCAGTCCCACCTATCAGTCCCTCCCTCCTATCAGTCCCACCTATCAGTCCCACCTATCAGTTCCACCTATCAGTCCCTCCTATCAGTCCCACCTATCAGTCCCACCTATCAGTCCCGCCTATCAGTCCCTCCTATCAGTCCCTCCTATCAGTCCCACCTATCAGTCCCACATATCAGTCCCACCTATCAGTCCCACCTATCAGTCCCTCCCTCCTATCAGTCCCACCTATCAGTCCCACCTATCAGTTCCACCTATCAGTCCCTCCTATCAGTCCCACCTATCAGTCCCACCTATCAGTCCCGCCTATCAGTCCCTCCTATCAGTCCCTCCTATCAGTCCCACCTATCAGTCCCACCTATCAGTCCCACCTATCAGTCCCTCCCTCCTATCAGTCCCACCTATCAGTCCCACCTATCAGTCCCACCTATCAGTTCCACCTATCAGTCCCACCTATCAGTCCCACCTATCAGTCCCACCTATCAGTCCCACCTATCAGTCCCACCTATCAGTCCCACCTATCAGTCCCACCTATCAGTCCCACCTATCAGTCCCACCTATCAGTCCCACCTATCAGTCCCTCCCTCCTATCAGTCCCACCTATCAGTCCCACCTATCAGTTCCACCTATCAGTCCCACCTATCAGTCCCACCTATCAGTCCCACCTATCAGTCCCTCCTATCAGTCCCTCCTATCAGTCCCTCCCTCCTATCAGTCCCACCTATCAGTCCCACCTTTCAGTCCCACCTATCAGTCCCACCTATCAGTCCTACCTATCAGTCCCACCTATCAGTCCCACCTATCAGTCCCACCTATCAGTCCCACCTATCAGTCCCACCTATCAGTCCCTCCCTCCTATCAGTCCCACCTATCAGTCCCACCTATCAGTCCCACCTATCAGTTCCACCTATCAGTCCCACCTATCAGTCCCACCTATCAGTCCAACCTATCAGTCCCTCCTATCAGTCCTACCTATCAGTCCCACCTATCAGTCCCACCTATCAGTCCCACCTATCAGTCCCACCTATCAGTCCCACCTATCAGTCCCACCTATCAGTCCCACCTATCAGTCCCACCTATCAGTCCCACCTATCAGTCCCACCTATCAGTCCCTCCCTCCTATCAGTCCCACCTATCAGTCCCACCTATCAGTCCCACCTATCAGTTCCACCTATCAGTCCCACCTATCAGTCCCACCTATCAGTCCCACCTATCAGTCCCACCTATCAGTCCCACCTATCAGTCCCACCTATCAGTCCCACCTATCAGTCCCACCTATCAGTCCCACCTATCAGTCCCTCCCTCCTATCAGTCCCACCTATCAGTCCCACCTATCAGTCCCACCTATCAGTTCCACCTATCAGTCCCACCTATCAGTCCCACCTATCAGTCCCACATATCAGTCCCACCTATCAGTCCCACCTATCAGTTCCACCTATCAGTCCCACCTATCAGTCCCACCTATCAGTCCCACATATCAGTCCCACCTATCAGTCCCACCTATCAGTCCCTCCCTCCTATCAGTTCCACCTATCAGTCCCACCTATCAGTCCCACCTATCAGTTCCACCTATCAGTCCCACCTATCAGTCCCACCTATCAGTCCCACCTATCAGTCCCACCTATCAGTCCCACCTATCAGTCCCACCTATCAGTCCCACCTATCAGTCCCTCCCTCCTATCAGTCCCACCTATCAGTCCCACCTATCAGTCCCACCTATCAGTTCCACCTATCAGTCCCACCTATCAGTCCCACCTATCAGTCCCACATATCAGTCCCACCTATCAGTCCCACCTATCAGTCCCTCCCTCCTATCAGTCCCACCTATCAGTCCCACCTATCAGTTCCACCTATCAGTCCCTCCTATCAGTCCCACCTATCAGTCCCACCTATCAGTCCCGCCTATCAGTCCCTCCTATCAGTCCCTCCTATCAGTCCCACCTATCAGTCCCACCTATCAGTCCCACCTATCAGTCCCTCCCTCCTATCAGTCCCACCTATCAGTCCCACCTATCAGTCCCACCTATCAGTTCCACCTATCAGTCCCACCTATCAGTCCCACCTATCAGTCCCACCTATCAGTCCCACCTATCAGTCCCACCTATCAGTCCCACCTATCAGTCCCACCTATCAGTCCCACCTATCAGTCCCACCTATCAGTCCCACCTATCAGTCCCTCCCTCCTATCAGTCCCACCTATCAGTCCCACCTATCAGTTCCACCTATCAGTCCCACCTATCAGTCCCACCTATCAGTCCCACCTATCAGTCCCTCCTATCAGTCCCTCCTATCAGTCCCTCCCTCCTATCAGTCCCACCTATCAGTCCCACCTTTCAGTCCCACCTATCAGTCCCACCTATCAGTCCTACCTATCAGTCCCACCTATCAGTCCCACCTATCAGTCCCACCTATCAGTCCCACCTATCAGTCCCACCTATCAGTCCCTCCCTCCTATCAGTCCCACCTATCAGTCCCACCTATCAGTCCCACCTATCAGTTCCACCTATCAGTCCCACCTATCAGTCCCACCTATCAGTCCAACCTATCAGTCCCTCCTATCAGTCCTACCTATCAGTCCCACCTATCAGTCCCACCTATCAGTCCCACCTATCAGTCCCACCTATCAGTCCCACCTATCAGTCCCACCTATCAGTCCCACCTATCAGTCCCACCTATCAGTCCCACCTATCAGTCCCACCTATCAGTCCCTCCCTCCTATCAGTCCCACCTATCAGTCCCACCTATCAGTCCCACCTATCAGTTCCACCTATCAGTCCCACCTATCAGTCCCACCTATCAGTCCCACCTATCAGTCCCACCTATCAGTCCCACCTATCAGTCCCACCTATCAGTCCCACCTATCAGTCCCACCTATCAGTCCCACCTATCAGTCCCTCCCTCCTATCAGTCCCACCTATCAGTCCCACCTATCAGTCCCACCTATCAGTTCCACCTATCAGTCCCACCTATCAGTCCCACCTATCAGTCCCACATATCAGTCCCACCTATCAGTCCCACCTATCAGTCCCTCCCTCCTATCAGTCCCACCTATCAGTCCCACCTATCAGTTCCACCTATCAGTCCCTCCTATCAGTCCCACCTATCAGTCCCACCTATCAGTCCCGCCTATCAGTCCCTCCTATCAGTCCCTCCTATCAGTCCCACCTATCAGTCCCACCTATCAGTCCCACCCACCTATCAGTCCCACCCACCTATCAGTCCCTCCTATCAGAAATGAGGGGACAGGAGCAGGTCAACGAGCAGCGTGTAGAGGAACGAGGAGAGCAGCATGAGGGAGTGAAGCGGAGAGCAGCATGAGGGAGTGAAGCGGAGAGCAGCATGAGGGAGTGGAAGCAATACGGGCGTCACCTGGGCAGGTCGCCGTGTGTGTGGACGAGCAGACCTAGGTGAGCAGCGCGTAGAGGAAGGCGACCTTTGAGTCGACTCAACTAGCAGTGGCAGTGTGTGTGTGGGATTCACCTGGGCAGGTCGCCGTGTGTGTCGACGAGCAGCGCGCGGTGGGTGAGCAGCGCGTAGAGGAAGGCGGAAACCAGCGACAGCAGGCAGGCGCTGTGCCACATCTGAGTCGTTTTTGAGAATTCTCAAAAGTGAGACTCACCTGGGCAGGTCGCCGTGCGTGTCAACGAGCAGTGCGCGGTGGGTGAGCAGCGCGTAGAGGAAGGCGGAGAGGAGCGACAGCAGGCGCTGCGCCACACTGGGGCGCGTCTGTGGCTCGTACCACACCAGGTAGCTGCGGTGGGGCGAGGGGAAAGGGAGGAGGGGCGAAGGGGAGGTGGGTTGAGGGTACTCGCGCGGTGCGCCAGTGGGGGCGTGCGTGACAGCAGGCGCTGCGCCACACTGGGGCGCGTCTGTGGCTCGTACCACACCAGGTAGCTGCGGTGGGGCGAGGGGGAAGGGAGGAGGGGCGAAGGGGAGGTGGGTTGAGGGTACTCGCGCGGTGCGCCAGTGGGGGCGTGCGTGACAGCAGGCGCTGCGCCACACTGGGGCGCGTCTGTGGCTCGTACCACACCAGGTAGCTGCGGGGGGGGCAGGGGGGAGGTGAGCAAGGGGCAAAAGGGGGCGGAGGGAGAAAGGGGTTGTGAGTGGAGTGGCGGTGTGAAGTGAAGTGGGGGGAGGCGCCACACTGGGGCGCATGTGCGGCTCGTACCACACCAGGTAGCTGCCAGGTGTGGGAGGTGGGGGAGGCAGAGGGGCAGAGGGGGCAGAGGGGGCAGAGGGGGCAGAGGGGGCAGAGGGGGCAGAGGGGGCAGAGGGGGCAGAGGGGGCAGAGGGGGCAGAGGGGGCAGAGGGGGTGAAGGGAGGACAAAGCTGTGAGTGGAGTGGGGGTGCAAAGAAAGGCACATCACCATGCCGCTCACCTGCACGCCCCCACCTGCACGCCCGCTCACCTGCAAGTGCTTCGTGGCGCCTCCAGTTTCTCTGCGTGTGCCTCCCAGCTCTGCACGCCCGCCACACACTCCTGTGCACACACACACAAACATGGGGAGAGAGATGCATGCGGCGAGGCGTATGGGGCGAGGAGAGAGCAAGACGGATTGGGGGCAGAGGGAGACGAGAAGCGGATGGGAAAGAGAGACGATGGGTGTGCATGCACGGAACCATCACCATCCCATCACCACGATAACCATCCGCCTCTCCCCCCCTCACTACCGCTCCACCAGCACCCCTCCCCTCCCCCACCCAACCCTCCCTCACCTCGTGCATGCGCTCGTAGGCGCGGAGAGCAGCGAGCAGAGCCGGGGAGGGCGAGTGGGGCGAGGGGGGGAGGAGAGACGATGGGTGTGCATGGCAGCATCATCATCCCATCACCCCCCCCTACTCCTCACCTCGTGCATGCGCTCGTAGGCGCGGAGAGCAGCGAGCAGCGCAGGGAACCATCCCCCTTGTCCCCCACACTCCCCCCCCCCAACCCCACCACCACCCCTCCCTCACCCCCCCCTACTCCTCACCTCGTGCAAGCGCTCGTAGGCGCGGAGAGCAGAGAGCAGCGCGGGGGAGGGCGAGTGGGGCGAGGGCGGGAGGAGCAGCGGGCGCTCGTGCAGCGCCCAGCACGACTGCCCCTCCTCCGCGCCCTCCAGACGAGCCAGGTCCTCCTGCGAGTGCAGCAGCAGGTCGCCGTGTACTGCTGCTGCCCCCGAGACTGCCCGGGGCGAGGGGTCTCTCGCCGCCTGCTGCATGTGGGGGGAAACGGGGGGTGAGGGGAATGGGGGAACGTGGGGGATATGGGGGGCCCAGGCGCGCCAGGTCCGCCAGCGAGTGCAGCAGCAGGTCGCCCTGCCCCGCTGCTGTGCCTGAGGTCGCCCGGGGCGAGGGTCACTTTCGGCCTGGTGTGAGCCGGGGGGAACGGGGAATGGGGGGCATGGGGGGCCAGGCGCGCCAAGTCCGCCTGTGCATGCAGCAGCAGGTCGCTGTGCAAAGCTGTGCGTGAGATTGCCTGCGGCGAGGAGTTTCCCCCGCCTGGTGCGTGGGAGGGAGGCGTGGGGGGGGATGAGGGACATGGAGGAGAGTGGAGGATATGGGGGGCCGGGGGAAGGGGGAAGAAGGAAAGGGGCAGAGGTGACGGTGAGGTTGAGTTGAGGTGTTGTCGGGTTGTGGTGGCGCTGCTGGGGAGGAAGAAGCATGCTGGTCGGGAGTGGGCTTGGTTGGCATGAATGAGTGAGTGAGTGAATGAGTGAGTGAGTGAATGAGTGAGTGAGTGAGTGCGCGAGTGAGTGAGTGGTGCCAGCAGCATGGGAGGGACGGCAGCAGCGCGGTGAAAGCAGGGGCAGCAAGGCACGAGTGGGCAGCAGCACAAGATGGTGGCCCACCTTGCGAGTGGAGGGCAGGGAGGGGCTAGCGAGCAGAAGCAGCAGCAGCAGCCCCAGCAGCACACACCCGCCCACCGCACCTAACCCCACCATCGCCACCTGCCTTCTCCGTGCACCCCTCCCCTCCCTCCCCTCCCTGCCCTCTCTCCCATCCCTCTCTTCCCTGCCGTCCCTCTGTTCCCTGCCATCCCTACCGTCCCTGCCATGTCCCGCCCAGTCCCGCAGCCACTCTGCCTCGAGCCACCACCGCCACACCTGCTCCGCTGCCCCCACCGCCAACCCCACCACCCCCCTCCGCCTCCTCTTATGCGCCTCCCCGTACCCATCCCCATACTGTCCCCCCTCCAGCCCCCCTGTCCCGCCCACCCCATACCAAGCCCCCATGGCACCTATCCCCCCTGCCCCCCCTCTCCCCCCTCCTCCCACTGCTCGCCTCTGCGCCATCACTCCCCCCAGCAGCCCCCCTGGGTCCACCCTCTGTCCCCCCACCACCAACTCCCCCGCCCCTGCTGCTCCCCCCACCGCCAGTGCTGCTGCTGGGGGGGCAGCGGAGGGCGCAGCCCCCCCTGCCGCCCCCGCTGCTGCCAGGACCCGCTCCCGCCACAGCTGCTCCCCCCCTCCCCGCGCCATGCCCCCCTCCCTGCCCGCCCTGCCCGCCCCTCTCGCTGCTGCGCCTGCCAGGAGCTCTGTGGACGGGGGAGAGAAGGGGCTGCGCGCAGGGGGAAAGGGGGAAGCACTGGCGGAGGGGGAGGAGCTGTAATGCGCGATAGGGAGGTCGTATGTGGGGGAGGGGGAGAGGGGCAGGGCAGGGTGCGGGCGAGAAGGGGAGGAGAGCGGGACGAAGTGAGAGCGTGGGGAGAGGGGGGATGGGGTGGGTGATGGGTGGAGGGCTGTGGGATTAGAGGAGGAGGAAGTGCGGGAGAAGGCGTGGTGAGTGGGGGCAGGTGGAGCAGTGGCAGCGGTTGCTGCTTGTGCTGCTGCTGGTGCGGGAGCAGCAGAGAGAGTGGTGGGGGCAGGGGGTGTTGGGGCGGGGGTGGCAGGGGAAGGGGAGGGGCGGGACGACGTGTGGGCATGGAGGGGCGAGGCGGAGGCACGCGCAGCAAAGGAGGCGGAGGACGGGGAGGGCGGGCGGAGAGGAGCAGGGGGAGCCAGAGTACCAGTGCCAGTGCCAGTAGCAGCGGCATCTTCAGGAGCAAGAGGAGCAGTAGGAGCAGCAGCAGCAGCCTCAACACGAGCAGCAGCAGCTGTTGCTTTCACCGCGAGACTCACATTGCTCCCCTCGCCTTGCTTTCCCCTTCCCTCCCCCCCTGACCCACCGCCAACCTCCACTGACCCGCCTATGTCTCCCCGGGACCCCCACGCCTTCTCACCCCCTCGCGTCGTTCCCCCCCAGTCCGCGGAGCTTCCCTGCGCTTCCGCTCGCCCAGCCCCTTCGCCTGTCACTCCCCCATCATTCCCTCTCCGCTGCGCGTACGCTTCCGCCACCCATTCCCCCACCCCACCCGCGCCTGTTCCCCCTCCGCCTGGTTCCCCTGCGCCAGGCTTGGTCAGCGCGAAGCGGTAGTTGGCGGAGCCTCCGCGGGCAGGGGGCGGAAGGATTGCGGAGGCGGAAGAAGGGGGAAGCACGACAGAAGCGGAGGAGGGGCCGAAGGCGGATTGAACGGAGGAGCCGGAAGGGGAGGTGGGCGCGGAGAACCGCTGCGCGAGCGCGTGAGGGTTGCGGGTGGGCGCGGAGGGGTGTGCGGGCGAGGGCAGGGAGGGGAGGTGCGAGAGGTCGACGAGGGAATCAAGGGGGTGCCCGCGCGCGCGGTAATAGGTCATGGCGTGCGGGCACGGGAAGTGACGCGCGCAGGGAAAACACACGCGCGGGAACGAGGCGAACGGTTGCGAACGGGCGGGCACGGGAACGAAGCGGCGCACGAGGTTGTCGTGGCAGACAAATTCCGATGCGATGACTGTACTTCCGCGGGCCAGATGCCACTGCGAGCTATTGTCAGCTATTCGTGCTATGAGCCGACTTGCTACACTGCCAAAAGAAAAAAAAAATGTTTTCCTTCTGATATTACATAGAGAAGAGTCTCCTTCCAGAAATTAGAAAAGGCAAGCCCTTTTCAATAGGTGGTTACATAGGCTAGTAGGTGGAAAACTGATTCAAAACGTATCGTATCCTTTTTGCTCTCGAGGAAGTATTAAATATTATGCTTTAGAATGCATAAGATGATAAAGAAGATAAATGCATAAAGAACATACGGCGAATCTAGAGTTACATCAGAAGCATTAAAAATGTTATTTTTAGAAGAGGTTCGAGAAGCGAGCAGCCTCGTGGAATTCTGGTATTTGTCAAGTCGTCAAGTGGGCAGCTGATAATATCTTTTCTTCCCTCACCCTCCCTCTCACCCTCCAATCGGATTCCCACACAACTCCAGTGCTAGTACGTTCGTCCACCGTCGCTAGATAGTAGTTCGCGCGTCGCCCCTCACTTCCCACTCAACGCGCTTCACGCCTCGCTAGCTTCTTCCCGAGGAGTAAGAATGACGAGCATCCGTGCCGAGCCTCATTCCACCATGGCCGTGACGCTCCCCTCGCAGCAGCTCGCCGCGTCGCTCACATCGCACGCCCACCTCGCATCCGTCGCATCACCCCTACGTGCGACTCTGATAGCAGTCGCTCAACCGCCTCTGTGATCGTCGCTGTTCGACGCCAGCACTCCGCTGCGTTCGCGGAGTCGTCGGGCCTCCTGGGCTGCCGGCGGAGAGCAGCACGCGGCGCGCAGGGCCGTCGGGGCGCGTGATGGTGCGCGCGGCGGTGTTCGACCAGCTGAGTTAGAGCCTGGAGCAGGCATGGACCAAGCTGGGCGCGCAAGGTGCGCCATTGGAGCGCGTGTCCGGCACACGCCGACCTGCGCCTCCCAATCGAAATGACACGTGCATGCACGTGGCTTGATCGGTTCGCCGTGCGTGCTGCCCGCTGGTCCACCCATCCCACCTTCCCGCCTCCTTTCTCCCCCCTTCTCCCCTTCACTCTTCCACAATTGTAGACAAACTGACGCGCGACAACATCAAGGTGACTTCTACGTCGACTCAAACGTTTCCCCCGTCCTTTCCTCCTCCCCCCCCCCCTCCTCCCCTCCCCACGATTGCAGATAAACTGACACGCGACAACATCAAGGAGCCGATGCGAGACATTCGGCGCGCCGCTCGAGGCTGATGTGAGTTGCGCTGCTGGAGGCCGATATGAGTTGTGCTGCTGGAGGTCGATGCGAGTTTAGCTGCTCGAGGCTGATGTGAGTTGCGCTGCTGGATTGTTATGCACACGCCATGGCTCCCCGCACATTGCGCGCACGCCATGCCTCCACTTCATAACCAACGTGCATCCCCCTGAACTCCTCCCCCAATCCTCCCCCTGGTTCATTATGACCATCTGGTTCATTCTGACCACATGGTTCATTCTGACTACCTGGTTCATTCTGACCACTTGGCTCATTCTGACCACCTGGTTCATTCTGACCACCTGGTTCATAATGACCACCTGGTTCATTCCGACCACCTGGTTCATTCTGACCACCTCGTTCATTCTGACCACCTGGTTCATTCTGACCACATGGTTCATTCTGACCGCTTGGTTCATTCTGACCACCTGATTCCCACAACCT